CGCGCGGAGACGCCCCCTAGCCCACCGCCGCCATGGATGCCATCAAGAAGAAGATGCAGATGCTGAAGCTGGACAAGGAGAACGCCTTGGACAGAGCCGAGCAAGCCGAAGCAGACAAGAAGGCAGCGGAGGAGAGGAGCAAGCAGGTCTGCACCCAGGGTCCAGGCGTGGCCAGCACCGGGGCGCAAGTCTGTCCAGACAACTTCTCTCTCTCTCTCCCTTTTTTCTTCCCGATGTACCTTGTTGTAACCCCTCCCGCCCCCATCCCCTGCAGAACTGGTTGGACTTTCCTAAGACAGAGCTTCGCCCTGGCAGCCCCTGGCTGGAGGTCGTTCCCCCAGCACCCCAGCTGGGGAGCAGGGCCCTGGGACAGCCACATGGCCTCTGTGCCTTTGTCGTGGGGCCACGGCTGGCAGAGGTTGCCTTGAGCTCCTGGGTAGCAACAGACAGACATGCTGCTCTTAAAGCTCTGTTCACCCCCTCCAGCACCACCCAGCAGACTTGTCCGATTCCAGCTGCTTCCCCCCCCTTCCAGATGTGTGCCCTGTTTTCCTGGCCTTCTCCAACCCCCCTCCTTTACACCTGGGGCTTCCTTCATTTGGGGGAGAGAGACATGTTGGTTGCACTTTTGTGGGAGGTCCTGAAGGAGGAGGGAGGAAGGGGAGGGGGGGTTAAAAATGAAATACCCACTTCTAAGCCCAGGGAGAAATATATTTGTATTTCCTCTTGTGCACCTAGTTAGAGGATGACATTGTGCAATTGGAAAAGCAATTGCATGTGACGGAGGATGCAAGAGACCAAGTGCTTGAAGAGCTACACAAGTCTGAGGATAGCCTCCTCTCCGCAGAGGAGAATGCTGCCAAGGTATCGTGCCGTTGCCGCAAGCAAAGAGAATCTAACTGTCTCTCCTTCTCTCTCTCTCTCTGTCCGTCTGTCCTTCTCTGTCTCTTCTGCACTCGCACTTCTCCCTTTGCACGATCACATTGCCTGCTGCACCTTTTCCTGCCCGCCCTCCCCTCTCCACCACTTTCCACCCGAATCACAGCTGGAGGACGAGCTGGTGGCTCTACAAAAGAAGCTGAAAGGCACTGAGGATGAGCTGGACAAATACTCCGAGTCCCTTAAAGATGCACAGGAAAAGTTGGAACTGGCTGACAAAAAGGCCACAGATGTAAGTTACCCCCGTCCCTTTCACCCCCACGGCAGGACAGCGACCACACGCTCCCTATGCGCAGGCCCGCCCGGTCTCCTGCCGCCCAGCGCTGCAGAGCTTTGCTGAGGGCAGGTCAGGGAGGCGGCACTGCCTCCTTGCATGAGGTTTGCACACTACCAGAGGCATTTGACCGGGTTTCTGCTCACCTGACACGTGCTTCTCATGTGTACTTGCTGCTCTAGATGTGAAAGTAAGGAAAGGGAGCATTGTCGCATTGTCTGCTCAGGTGATGGGGGAAACGGCTCAGGCTGGAACAACGCTGTCTCGATAGCAGTGCAGAATCAGAGAGTTGGTAGCAAGTAGGGCCGGGAGAGGGACATCTGGAAGAGCAAGGGCTGCGAGGTCGCTGCTCGAGAGAGCTGTTCTAGGCATACATGCGTTAGGACTGCTGCTAGGTGCTAGTTTGGCTCGCTCGCGGGGCCCTGAGGTAAAAGGCTTTTTTTCCTAGAGATCACTGGAACTCTTTCACTTGTCGGACAAAAGTTCAGTCTTGTGTGAGAGAAAAATGTCCGGAAGGTGATACTTGCTGGGTCTGCAGTTCAGAGGGCAGGGATCCTGGGAGCGAGCTGGGAGATATATATAGCTCAGCACTTTATATGGTAATACTGCAAGAGCCTGTGCCTCTCGCGGGCCTCATCCCACCCACTCGCCTGCCCCTGACGCACGTTTGGTGTGCTGCGTGTGCGGAGCCCGGTGAGGCGGTGGTCTCTGCCTTTCGGGTCCGGGGCTCTGCGGTTGCTGCCATACAACCCAGTTCTCTCTGAGTAAATCGCAGGTCTGAATTACAGGATTAGGGGAAACCATGGTATTTCCAAAGCGATGACCATCTTTTTCCTATAACTCGGCTTTAAAAATGAACCTCAAAGCCGTAATAAAGAGAGGAGTTGCCCCAGATGAAGCAAGCAAAGTATTTTTTGGGGGGAAGGATACTTTTGGAAGGGGAAATGTTACAAAAACCAACTTGGCATGGAAGACAACATGCTTTTATCTTGCTTTGCTTCTCCAGTGAACAAAGGATGGAAAGGGCTTAACTTCAGTATGGCAATAAAGTTTTACAGCTTTGAAAGAGAACTGGAGAACTCGGCCCCCATGAGCGTGCGTGCGCAGGAGCAGGAGGGGGTTCCGTGGGCAGTGTGGGTCGGGCGGCTCTCGGCCGCGGTGCGGTGCGTGGATGCGGGACAGCTTCCTCGCAGGACGCTAG